CAGCTTTCACCAGGTTGCAAGACGCCTTCTACGATACTAACAGAGCCTACTGTTAAAATTAATCGTAATTCCACTTGTTACCAATCCTGCGTATGGAAGTGGAACGTGGACTACCACGTTTTGCCCACGAGGGGAAAAAAGCCAGCAAGATGTCCTCCACGAAAATAATACAGCTTCAGTCTTATCTGCCAGTCTTATGTAAGCCGAGGCATGCAACAAGAATGACAGACAACAGATGGACAAAGCGGATTACTGAATGGTGCCCAAACTGTTTTAAAAGAAAACAGGGAGAATCGCCAATGCGACAGAAAGACCCGCATAAACGACTACATGGGGATATGTCGATGGAAGAGATCCAAAACAGAAAAGAATGGGAAAGTTGTAAGCTACAAAAATGCCAAAATGAAGCAGCACCTAATTAACATATCAGTGTGCCCATAAATGGACTGAAATACTCCCAACATCAGAAAATTTATCAACACATTCACTGGAGCTTTACCTACCAGCGGAACGAACGTGAAGATGTTGTATTTCTGGTTGCAAACTGTATTTGGTGGAAATGAGCGCGCCGACCCGAGCACCGGTCCATGGCCAACTCTTATCGTCCTGGAATGCAATGTGCGCCTTCGACGAAGAAAATTCCAGCAACATCTAAAATTATGCATTCTTTGAGCGTTTTTTAAAACAGATACTTAATAGTCGATAATATTTGATCTGATTTGGTTCTGATTTGGTTTTGATTTGATTCGTCAGTGGCGAAGCCGATAACTATGTCATTTTCTTTATTCTTCATTTCGTAGCTGTTATGGTCATTGCTGCATCGCTTGATGGTCAGCATTCTTGGCCATTCTGACGTTCGTTCTGCCTCTTTAAATATGAATTATTGAACCAACTGCTGTGAAAAATAACCTACAGAAAATAAGTTGCCAGCGCACTGACTGCCGTTGCAAAGATGCGTTTTTTGCATAGTGCCCCGCAGGTTTTTGGTCGTCAGCAGCACTGGTTCTTCCTGCACATGCTTCTAGCTAAAGGAATTGAGACTGGCCGCCAGGACTGTTGGGAAATATCTCATTAAAGTTGGGAAATATTCCAGTTTTCTAGCTTTGCTGTATTCTGAGTTAGCAACCTGCCCGATTCCCGAGCTCGTAATTGGAAACCACGCGTACCCAGTGTGTGGGTTTGAGCTCGTTAACACCTACGTGGACGGTGAACATTCCCCTACAATTAAAGCCTTTTAACTTCCAGTTTCCTAAGTTGGCAACTTATCTGCAAACAAATTCCACGGACCCGTACGTGGGAATTACGCATATCCAGGGACTGTGTCTAAACTCATTAAGACCTACATGGGCGGGAAACAACCCCTTAAAATTTCAGCTTTCTAGCTTTTCTGGCTCCCGAGTTAGCAGGTTGTCCGTCAAGAACTTTGGCAGGCTCGTTCGTGGGCACCACGCAGGTAGAAGCGCCCATTTTAGGGAGGGGGCCGTACATGCATGTAGATTAAGTTTCCGAAGTTTCAGCCCTTTAGCTTTTGTAAGTCTCCAGATGAAAAATCGAAACAGACGAACATACAGACACACACAGAGACAGACAACCGGTCGTCAGTATGCGTTTTCTTTATTGAATGAATACAAAAAAACGCATAATTAGGGTTAATTTTTACAGGAAGTCCATATATTTTACTTTCAAAAAATGATTGTATGAACTGTCTGTGTTGAGTTCCGTCATTACTCCATCAATATAGTTAACGCTTCTAACGCAGTGGGTCTTAAAGCAGACAGTAGAGAAGAAATCAGTAAACTTTTGTAAAAGGAGGGATTGATCAGGACTCTGTCAAACTGAGGTAAGAAAGCAAGTACAATTTTTTCCACCACATAACACATTCACTATTCCAGTTCGTGGAAACTGAAAAAAGTGGGTGTGAAGTCATTTCATTTATTCATTCACTAAACAGGGCATATACATATTTTTACGCATACATATTATGCGTTTGAACATAAAAAAGCAAGAGACGAATGAAGCTGGAATAATAGTCGGAAGAAGCTCGTGTTTGAGCACAGACATTCAAAAAAATAAGTGGGATCGCTCGTAAGAGCATTAAGTGGCATTCTGTATCACGCTCTCGAGGAGTGATGGGTTTCATCGTTTTGTGTGTAAAAACTGACTGAGCAAAAATGGAGGGGCTTAGCCATTGAGCTTTTCCCTCTCTTTGGATGCACGGCTGGAGAATGGAAGGGAGCGGTGCACTTTCAAGGCAAAAGAAGAAGTCGGGAAACTGGAGTCAAACGCGGTCAGCGTCAGAACTTAGCTTGCAGCAGTGGATATCAGACTCACAAAAGTCAAGCCTTCCTTTAAACTTCTCTTCCTGTGAGAGGCAATGCTTGATCACAGTCCTACTTGATAAGCATGTTAAGCACAAACATTAACCGGAAGTCTGTAGACGGATCCACTTCCAGACACTGGCAGATTCAGGGAGCGGGAGAGAAGGGGTGTGTAGCTGGACCATCGAGGAAGGTGGTGGCGCGGTGACCGAGAGAGAGGAGCCGGTGGGGCTGCCGATGAAGTGACGAAAGGGGAGGAGGGGAAAAGTCGCCCCTCTCCCCTTCCCCCCTTCCAGGAGATCGCTCCGGATCCACCTATGCTTCTAAAGGTGCTTAGAGACAAGCTTATGGCAATTTTGTTTCCCTGTGCATGAGTTAAAATCAATTTACCATCGAAACAGATGCAGAAATTGGTCGTTTCCCGACTTCATGATTTATGATCATCTTGTGGAAAAGACTAACCCCCGCCCCCCC